AATTTTATTTTTATTTTAATATTGATATTAATTTTGTTAATTATATTTTTATTTTAATATTAATTTTATTAATTTATATTAATTTTATTTTAATTTTTATATTAATTTTATTAATCTTATTTAATTTTATCTTCAGGAGATAATCCCAGCGAAAGATGGCAAGAGAATGAGGCCTTTATATGACGTGCCTTTCATGTTCGAAGCTAGAGAATTCCTACGAAAAAAGATCATAGGCAAGAAGGTAATGGCAATCAATAGATGACTAGCATATCTGGTCTTGTGCGTTTTTGCCAACTGAATGGCATGTACATGGATCATTGAATATGGATTGCAATGTCGACCCTTCACTGACTGAGGCTGGCAATGAGATTTATTCCGCTAATTGATGCCAAGCAATAGAATATTCTCTGGTTGATAGCACATGACGGGCAGTGTTTGCCTGCCATTGTAGGCTGGTAATGAGATTCATGAGATTCGTTCATCTGATTGATGCCAAGCAATAGAATATTCTCTGGTTGATAGCACATGATGGGCAGTGTTTGCCTGCCATTGTAGGCTGGTAATGAGATTCATGAGATTCGTTCATCTGATTGATACCAAGCAATAGAATACTCTCTGGTTGATAGCACATGATGGGCAGTGTTTACCTGTCATTGTAGGCTGGTAATGAGATTCATGAGATTCATTCAGCTGATTGATACCAAGCAATAGAATATTCTCTGGTTGATAGCACATGATGGGCAGTGTTTGCCTGTCATCGTAGGCTGGTAATGAGATTCATGAGATTTGTTCAGCTGATTGATACCAAGCAATAGAATATTCTCTGGTTGATAGCACATGATGGGCAGTGTTTACCTGTCATTGTAGGCTGGTAATGAGATTCATGAGATTCATTCAACTGATTGATACCAAGCAATCAAAGTCCTTCATTAATTTACAGTATTTTGTCTTTTTGTTCATTCGTTCATTCATTCACTTGTCTATTCAATAATTTCTTATTATTTTATCCATTTAGTAACTCCTTTGTTTTGAGTTTCTAAAAACATTTTCAAAAAGACTATTTTCTCCACTCACTTGTTATCTTTTTAAACTTTATTACCATTATAGGTTAGCGTTAAGATTGATTATATTAAGCCAGCAAACGACGGTTTCCCAGAAAGAACATTCGCAACTATAACCAGTGGAGGAGTCAATGTTGCCGAGGCACTCATCAGCAAAGGCTTTGCTACAGTCTTGCGTCACAGACAGGACGATGATCAAAGATCGTCACTTTATGATGAGTTATTAGTTGCAGAAACCAGAGCCATTAAGAACAGCAAAGGGATGCATAACAAGAAAGAACCACCAATCCACAGAGTTGCAGATTTATCAGGAGTAAGTCAGCAGTCCGTAATATTTTCATGTTTTTAGTTATAGCGAGCTTGTTACATGATTGCTTCAAAACTCTGCTCCACTAGAGAACAGAACACAGTGCTCATGCCATGCTAGAAGTAAAACCTACAATGATAATTTATTAAGGAATGATTATTATTAACAATATATAGACCAATTGCATTGATATCCTAGAGGGATTGTTCTGGGGGACAAAACAATAGGCCATCTTTTCTTATGCAAAAAAAAACATCCATTGCAGACCAATTCCTCTCGAGGCTCAGAGCAAGGGATCTATGTGTGTTCAATTCTGGTTGAATATGCAGAGCTGTTAATTCTTGAAAGAAAGAAAAGTCACTAGGCATAGCTGACTTTGTACACTGTAATAATATACTCATTACTAATAGCTATGTATACATGTGTTTTTCTCTCAGGACTATGCTAAAGCCAGACAGTTTTTACCATTCCTTCAGCGTGCTGGACGATCTTCTGCTATTGTTGAGGTAAAGGCTTTAACTTTATTCAACCTTTTGGGCAGCCTTCAGGCCTGTTGGTTGGCTGTTTGACTGACAACCAACCTACCTACCTACAGCTGACTAACTGACTGACTGAAAGACTGACCAACTCACTCACTCACTGACTGACTGACTGAGTGACTGACTTACTGACTGACTGACCAACTCACTGACTGACTGACTGACTGATTGAATGACTGACCAACTCACTGACTGACTGGCTGACTGACTGACTGACTGGCTGGCTGGCTGGCTGGCTGACTGACCAACTCACTCACTCGCTGAATGACTGACTGTCTGATTGATGGACTGATCAGTGCTCTTGTTTCTCACAGTTTGTCGCCAGTGGTTCAAGATTAAGAATCTATCTACCAAAAGAGACTTGCTTGACTACCTTCTTACTGGCAGGTAAGAATTCTTTTAAATATTCTGGTTGTTGTAATCATTTATTTAAGAGTAGTTAGAAGTGGTTGACAGTATTGATTCTTGTACAGGTATAAGCTGTCCACGTGCCGCAAGAATCAACACAGGTCAGGGAGTAACCAATGCTGTTGAAGGTGATCCCTTCGGAGACGAGGCTCTGCAGTTCACCAAGGAAATGGTATTACAGAGAGAGGTAGGTTTACTATATTGGTACAAATTAAACCTATGTTGATCCTGATTTGAAATCAATAGAGTCATTAAAAATATGATTGTCCTGTGAAGACTATGCTTAGAATAATATCACACTACACTGTATATGCCTTCTTTTTTTTAATTTTATTTTCTATTATTTTTTAATCAGGTTGAAGTAGAAGTCGAGAGCATTGACAAAGCTGGTAATTTTATTGGATGGATGTTTTTTGAGGACAAGAATCTATCAGTATCACTTGTTGAGGTAAGAGACTGAAGTGTTAATTAGAATGATGATGATGACAATTATGGTAGTGATGATGATGATGATTGATGGTGATGATGATGATGATGTTGATGATGATGAAAATGATGATAAAGATAATGATGGTGTTGGTAATGATGATAATAATGGTGGTGATGATGGTGGTGGTGATGATGTTGATGATAATAATAGTGGTGATGATGATGGTGGTGATGTTAATGATAATAATGGTGGTGATGATGATGGTGGTGATGATGTTGATGGTAATAATAGTGGTGATGATGATGTTGATGATGATGTTGATGTTGATGGTAATAATGGTGGTGGTGATGATTATGATTATGATGATGGTGTTGGAGGTGGTGGTGATGGTGATGGTAATGATAGTAGTGATGATGATAGTGATGATAGTGTTGGTAATAACAATAATTATCATGTCAATGACAAAGAATGATGTTGTTTGTGGTTCATAATGAAGTTGATGAATGTGTTCCCAAAGGATTGTCCTTATTTATTTATATCATATCTTTTCCAGGCTGGTCTGTCGTCGGTACACTTCACAGCAGAAAGATCAAACTTTTATCACAAATTAACGTATGCTGAAGAAACAGCCAAGAGTCAGAAGTTGAAAGTAAGCCAATATCTACATAACATTTTTTCAAATAGTCAATGATCAGTAATTAAAGAATTGGCAAAAAGAAACACAGAGAAATAAAATCGGAAAGAAATTGGGGTTTGAACACATCTATCATAATCTAGTCAGATCAGAGCTTAAAATAACGGCCGGACATTAGACAATGTCCGCCAAGAAGACTTACTAGCCGTTATTTTAAGCCCCACAAATGCTCTAACCAATGAGCTATTGGGAATTCAAATGGTGAGCTATGGTTGTGTGTGTAACTATTTATGATTGCTTGTGCCAATCTTATGGAAATCAATAAACCTTTCCCGAATTCACTTGGAGGACCACCAAACAAAGGTTTCAAGTCAAGACCGAACTGAATTCTTTTGTCCATCAAGTTTAACCTTGACTTGAAACCTTTGTTTCCTGATCAGTCAAGCAAATTCAGGAAAGCTTTATTGGTGGATTGATTATTTTCTAATGCTTTAATGGTGTGTGTGAATCATTCACAGATGTGGGCAAATTATGAAGAACCAAAGGCTGTTATAGTTGTTGAAGAAACAGAAAGAAAATGCAACTACAAGAAGGTAGAATGTCTTTGTAATTTCATCTGCAAATGGTTAGACCTTCAAGTCTTCATGGACAAGGACTTAAAACCGTAGACCCTGTCTGTCTTCACTATATAACCCTGTATAACGAGGATGTAAAAGACACACTGAAGACACTGGTGACAACCATCTTCAGTGTCCATACTAATACTACAGGCCCCACAGTAATTGGCTGTGCTGTTGTGACATTCCTGTCCTCGCTGGAAAAACAAAATAAATAAATAAGCTTTGCTTTTTTTTTTACTTAAGTTACCTTTATATTTTGCAGGTTTATGTCACAGAACCAAAAGAAAATTTAAGTTTTTATGCTCAACATGTTGAGACAGGTATTGTAAAGATTACAATATCATAATGTTACATTCTCGTACCCTAGGCCTTCTCAGCTTTCTAATGAAAAGTCCAAGGCTCTGAAATTTGAATACTTTACTGTACACATCAAAGGGTCTCGCTAAATTGCTTATTTATTCAGAATGTTAGTCACAGACAAATAAACTGCTCCATAAGCAATGTACAAATAAGCTTGATTGTTTTTCTTTTGAAGAAAAATACGGTTTGAATTTATACAGGAAGTCAGATTAAGTAGAACATGCACATATCTGACAACCTACAATCTGGTCCGGGGGGGGGGGGGGTACTCTTGCCAGTTTAGGGTAGGGATGTGCCGCTGAGCCTACTGAACCCTGACCCTGTTCCAGAGTAAAATGGCTGAAATTCATACCCTGTTCCAGAGCGAGCACGATTTTATATACCCTGTTCCAGAGTAGAATCGCTGAAAACCATACCCTATTTGGCGGCACATACCCGTATAGCGAATAAAGGGGAGTTCCCCCCCCCCGGAATCTGGGTCTACTGGTTTGTGTGTTACCAGAGCCTTCGCCTTTTTGATGGTTGGAACACACAAAAAAATGCATGGAGAGGTTGTTACGAAAAATAATTATCGTGCAACATAAATTCCTTCAACCCCCCCCCCCCCCCACATCCAACTATTTGTCTCTCCCTAATGACTCTTCATTTTGCATTACTTAGGACCACAGCTGGAGCAACTGATGACAGATCTTCATACTGAGCTAAGTAGTAACCCACCATTACCAGGATCCTATACACCAAAAAAAGGAGATCTGTGCGCAGCTCAGTTTGTGGATGACAGTTGGTAAGAATTTCTTTGATAAATGTAAATTTTGTCATCATAATCATCATTGTCATCATCATCATTATCATCATCTCATCATCAACATTATCGTTATCACCATCTCTATTATCATTACCATCACCAGCCGTCGTCGTTGTCATCATTATTGCAATTGTCATCATCAGCACTTTAAATCCTTGTCATCATCATGTACATCATGAATATCATCATCATCTTCATATCACTATCATCATTTATTGTATGATATCTAGTTTTTCTGACAAAATAACATAATTCATCAACACTGTTTATTCATTTACTTGATGATTTGTTTCTCGTATTGAATCAAATCTCTTTCTGTTCATCAGGTATCGAGCCAGAATTGACTCAATTAAAGGAAAAGATATCACTGTGTTCTACGTTGATTATGGAAATGTGAGTAAAACATGAACAGGAATGAATGTTGTTGTTGTTGTTATTATTATTATTATTATTATTATTATTATTTGTCACATTTTGTATTCGATTCAAGTAGCCAATTGTAAATTACTTATACGTAGCGAGAGTTACGATTGTATTTTGGGAAAAACTCAATTAAGTTATTATTATTATTATCATTATCATTATCATTATCATTATCATTATTATTATTATTATTATTATTATTATTATTAT